ACATCAGGATTCTAGATGTCAACTGTTCTGTTGTTTCGTTGGATACTTCCTATCAATTCCTAGTGGATGCCTCCAACACTGGTAGTGGTACGGCCTTACGCTGATTGGGAGGTCGCGATTTCGATCCCAGAAACCGGCTTAAGTGGCTCAGGGCATCAACTGATATCCCTGCCGTGCTTACGGCCGGGAGATCCTAGGGTTCGAGACCCGACGGTGACAGGATTTTCGACGCTAAGGTAGATAGCTAGGTCGGATTCAGCTGCTGCCTGGAGGAGAATTCTAGCGTCCGGCTGCTCTGATCGGTAGTTTTCGGTGGTTTCTCCGATCAACATCAGGCGAATGCCGGAGCAGTATTCTAACAAACGGGCCACGGACCGCGCGCGATCTTTCCTTCCCCTTCCTTGCCCCTACTTCCACGCACTTCCTCTTACATGCACTACACTACCACGTATACTGGGAGAACAGTCTGGAGCATAGAGCTTGTCCCGACTGGGGCGGTACCCCGCTGGTGGGAGATACCTGGCTGGGAATACCTCGCTTGCCGACATGTAGGTCGGCGCCGAATATCGCTATCCAGCGGGAGACGATCTCCGCAGCCTCCCGATGAACACATGCACTGCACTTACAGGAATAATGACCTGAGTAGTTGCGGCGCCCGGAAACACTAATCAATCAATGAATCACTCAATCGATTCCAGAAAGGTGCCTGAATTCCACAACATCGTGTGTTTGTGGTGTCTGCCGGAATCGTATCTATAGGTCGATTGCTCTCACCTTGTTTCCATTCTTTCTCCAATCACTTCCAGGCGAATGCTTAATCAATGGATCACGGACGTCGCGCGATCTTTCCTTCCCATCAGCGACGTCGCCATTGTCATCATCAGACATCTCGCCGTATCTGGACTGGGGAGCCTTGGAAGATTACATTCCGTGCCAAGCGACTCCTCCATAACCGGCGTACGCCGGCGGCGAGGTCTTGCAGACTCCGCAAGACGTGACTAACGCAAGGAAAAAGGAAGATTTCATGTCTTTTCAAGAGAACTCTAGAGGCCGGCTGCTCTGATCATTTACGCGGACTATTCCTTTGAATCCCGGACGGGTGCCCGAGCTAATGATGCGACATCGACAACAAAACATCGATGTTGCCAAACATCGATGTTCCCAATTTTTAAAAAAATACGTCAGTAACATATCGACCAAAATCCATCGATGTTTTAAAGCTGGTTTAGTAACATATAACTTTATTAAATTCGTACGCAACAAAACTTAGTGACAGTGGCCGGGTGTATTAATTTTTTTAGATAAACACTTAATTTATAAGTAGTCACACAAATTTGTGTAATAACTAACTCAAAACATAGTTCAAAAAGCTTCTACGTGCGAAACACGAGGAAAGCGGAAAGAAATGTCAATGTATCAAGATCACCTCAGGCGAGGGGGAGTCTTCTCGATGCAGGTGGTACCAACCTAGTTCTTGTGGTTAACAGACAGTGGCTCCGTAAGATATTATTTCATATTTTGTTTTACAAAATTGTGTTCATAGAGTTTTTCATCCACGAACAAAACATTGAAAACAAAAAATATCGAACGCAAAATATCGGGGTTCAAAAAACATTTTAATAGAAACATCCCGAAATATTCCGAAAACATCGGCATCGATTTCGCATCCCTAGCTGAAGCAGGACCTGCAACAACGAACCACCTCCTCTTCAACCTGAATCTAATCGCATACTTACAGCAGGGCGCTGGCCTGATGCCTCAAACCCCATGGTCCATTCCACATGATGTACATAACCCGTGGAGGACTGTAGAAATAGAGAAAGAAGAGAGAAATCTTTTTTAATTTTTTTTTAATGTGACGAACCTCAAAAGGTCTCCTTCAGCTGAAGTTCTAGATACCCCCGATAGCATGCTAGAAATGCCCATTCTTGATTCTTGGCAGTGTGACAACGCGCATCAAGATCTCGTGCCCGTTATGAAGGCCGTCATTTTTGCAGCGCCTGACGCAAGATCTGGTGTCAGAGGGGAATCAGCTGATGCAATTGCTATCGACGAATGGCAAAAATTGATCTGACTGGTTTTATTTATTTCATGATTTGAAATTAAGGACAGTTTCGTATTTCACCAAATTATCTACTATGCGTGTGAACTTGTCTTTGAAGTTCTAATGGGTTTCTCCAGGGTCCGCCCGCTTTTGAACAGGTAGAGTTTCCCGACGGCCTCTGGTTGAGTGTATCGACAATTTTGTCTCTTCGGTTTGGGCGAGGCAATTTTACACTCTTCGCTGGAGCGAATACGCTTCGGATTTTGCAAAAACCCAATATCACATGTGACTTCTCGTGATGCAGCTGACTTTCAGAGGTCCGAAGACAATTTTCAATTACCCTGTAAAAGGTTATAAAATCCACCAAATAAACATCTTTTTTGCACCTTTTAAAAGTATTTTCTGTATTGCACAAAGTATTACTAAAGGCCAAATTATCTGCTTTCGTAACAGATCCGACGAACAATTTTATTCGCACCCATCAAGCTGTTTAGACTTTCTCCCTAATGTCATTTTAAAATTCTGTATTGCGTATTACTTGGTTGTTGAGCAGTCATTCCACTGCCGCAAGTTCTGTAGCCATTATTGACGAAATATTACCAATTATTTTAAAATGCACCGTTGCATCTTAAAGACGTGCAGAACATCTTGCAATCTTGCAGGTAATCACAATAACGTCACTTACGTCGTCGATTTTCTTTTTTCGTAGACAAAATGCCAAGTCATAGTGCTATGTAAAGGTAATGAATTATCGTTCATTATATGCGCTGCATTTTTTTCTCTTTCGACATCATGTTCGAAGTAATTTTAAAGTACCGACACAACTATGACTAAGCGATGACATCAACGTCGTTCCAGGTGCCAATGGCATTTTCCACAGTGTTTTTACATGTTCGAATACTTTACTCCCTAACTGTCATTCAAAGTTCTCTCACGAGTGCTTCTTCATTCATATTTCGTACGAGTATTTTTGCAGAGGAAAGTCGATGAACTCTAGTAAACAAAGCTGGAACATAACTGAATAATTATTTTCCATTAGGTGTATCGTGCAGACACATAAAAGTCAACATATGTGTATTTTAATATCGTAACATCTAAACACTGTTTGGTAATTTTTAGTATCAGTGTACAGTGTGTTCACAATGTAAAACGCTCTGTAAAATGCATATTGCAAAGTATTTAGGAACATCGTAAGAAGTATAATGTTCCTGTCTAGTCTTCGAAGTAAAAACACTACGACGTGCACATCATACAGCGAACACGATAAATTTAACCAATCAGTTTGCATTAGATAAAATTCTACGAGACATCGGACTTCGATTTGGTACGTGACTGAGCAATTGTTATAATAAAAGTACTTTCAAGGATACAAATACTCTAGGTGTTGGTGAGACAGATTCCTGGGATGGAAACAAAAATGTAATTGCTTATAATGTTATTTGTCAGAAGTGTTTACTTTTTTGTCGAAATCAATGAAAACTTGTTTATTCTTCTTTATCTGGAAGTTTTAATGTAGTAACATGTTTGGAAGAAGGCCCAGATAGTAAGTTTGTGTTTACACATTTATTGAGAAAATTGGTGTGATAACCGAAGGTGAAAATTATGTAATTCGTTTGGAGTGATACATTCAGCAGATCATCAATGATTTTCACTGTGGGGCTAACCAATGGACTTCAATTAAGCTAATAAAACAGTATTGACATAATATCGTGGATGACTTGATTGCTGTGCTGATTAAAAATCGTTTCGAAATTTCCTTCATATTCTGAATGATAAACGATGAAATATTTTATGGCAAACGGAACCTGCAAACAATGCTTAATTGCCCTTTTCTGGAATTTTTGGTAGATGAATTTAATGAAATTTATGTAAACACGAACATTGATGAAGTGACGCTCTAATGAATCATTTAAGTAAACAATGACGTGATGTGTTTTTGTGTCCTTCACTTGATAATTTTGCACGTCAATTTAATGTTGCGTTGGAAGCTGATGAAATCGCTTACATTTCAAGTTTAATACAAACACTTTCGCGAGCTTTTGTTACTAATAAGGAAGAAGCTAGGCTACGTGAAATGTTTCCAGCTTCTAACTGTTAAGCATGCGAATAAACATATTTCACTAGTACGATACTTCCGATGGGAATATTAGGCGCTCCGGGCATTAGTATTGAGACATTCAGTATTGTGGATGGTACTGGTTTGGGAGACAGTTCGTGACAACAAAACTCAAAGCAATTGTTTTTTAACCAAGTGGTACACACGGCACATGACATGGGCCTTGCACTAACTATATTTGAAGAAAAAAATAAACAAAATAAATGTTAATATTCATTTTTGTGTAAAACTTTAAACTAGTCGAGATGACACTAGGTACTCGTTACCATTCCTACTAGAAATCAAAATATATTAGTATTTAACAGTTTTTTTAAATTAAATAATTAAATGAATACAAAATTGTCTACACATTGTTTACTTAAAGCTGAATTTTAGTCCTTCGGAATGTATCATTTTGTCCATTTTTTCGTTGTATTTAGAAGCAATGAAATTAATTTTAGAACATTATTCTTATTTTTATTATTATTATTATTATTATTATTATTATTAATAATAATAATAATAATAATAATAATAATAATAATAATAATAATATTTCTGAAGTCCTTAAAACTGCGGTGATGGCCCCGCTTTTAAGCAGTGTTATGGAACCTACGGACTCATAACCCGGTTCAACTAGACTGGAAGCTCAAAAAACTTAAACTGCGGGTTTGTGTCCCTAATTGCCGCATTCGCTGCACCATGTTTCCGGCTAGCCCGACACGACAGAGGAGTGCGCGTGTTTTACGAGGACCAAACGCCCCGAGCGAGTCCAAAATGACTGGCTGGAGGCGGCAGCGACGCAGGTAGCGGCAGTGGCGGCGGCGGCGGCAGCTGTTCCGAATAAAAACTCTGGTTACCCGTGCCTCGCGATCAGGACTCGACACTATCAGATCCTTTACTCCTGCCACTCTGTCTTAGTTACTCCGAACAGAAGGTAGCCTCTTCTGTGTGAGAGCTACATTATTTACAAGTTGCAAGCTATGACTCAGTGCACAGAAAGGAGGTAAGGATGTTGCATATCTTGTTGCTTCGGTGAAGTTATATTCTTTTGTTTGTTAATTAGTCGTTTTTTATTGTCTCGGTATTTTAAGTATTGCTCCGGCTGGTCCCGACTGGCCTCCGTACATGTGTGGTAGTGAAGTGTGTGTAAATACGGGGTTAAGAAACGTCAAGAATGGGGAAGGAAATATTGCGTGGGGGCCGTGGCCCGTTTGTTAGGGTCATGCTCCAGCATTTGTGCTGCCTGGTGTTGATCGGCGAAACCACGGAAAACTCCCGATCAAAGCAGTAGGTCGCTAGAATTCTCGTTCTCCCAACGACTGAATTCGACCTAGCTCTCTCGCCAATATCAAAATTCTCCCTCTGTCGGCACTCGAACTCTTGGACCTCTCGGTCAGAGGCACTGCAGTGACATCAGTTGATGCCCTGAGCCACCTAAGCCGGTTTGTTCATGTTGTTTTGGGGTGTGTACCCAATTGCATTTACACCTAAGCGTTCCAGAAACTATGACGCACTAATTCGGAAACTTTGATCGCGTATGTCATTTCGGGGACAATACTCGAGTATATTGGTTTTGAGACTACCTCCCACATACCTCCCATGAAAATGCGAAAAACAAAACAAAAACAATTCTGTGCCAGTTTCAACATCAATCTATAGATATTTTCTTGACGATGTATCAGAAATTGAAGTGATATTTTGAATAGTGACGTATCTTTATTATCAACATAAAAAACGCAATATCGTGTGTCCATATTTTTTTAGTTGCATTGTCACGTTGACCTGTAAATTAAAATGAGTTGCAATTTTTCAACTCACAAATAAAAATAATATAAACAAACACTAGCGTATTGAGAATATTAAGATAAGGACCGAAAAGGTAACAACGATGGCTTCGCACATAAGGAGAGGATAACTCAATGTTTCCGCCTCTTCATTGTTGTCAGCATACGTTTTTACACCAGAAAATCGCAGCAGGTGGCAGAGAGGGGAACATATGCTATTTTGATTGATCGACGATTGAATGATATTTTATCGGAGGTGTTATTACTTATAAAATTTTATTTTGAACATCACTTCATTTACTACAAGTTTTCATTAATAGTTGAAAAAAAGTATTGATATTTGAAAAAAAAATATTTTCTGATGTTTTTTATTTTGTTCGTTTTTGTTTTAATGGCAATATATCGATATTTTCTCGTCGGTTATTGAACTAAGATTAATTAGGGAGTTTTGTACAATCGAACGTTACAGCACTATCGATCTTCTGCGCATGCGAAGCCCAAGTTTTGCATCAGTTTTCTGTATCTGCGCGTGCCCAGAAGATCGATAGTGCTGTCCTCTGTGGCGTGCGTTGGACTCGTCAAAATAACTTTTTTTTTTCTTTCTTTTTTCCCCCCCACTTTTGAGCACCCCTTTGCTACTTCACCCCGCGTCACCCGAGGTCGCTGGCTGTGTGTTGGCAAGGGGGTCAGCATCACCTCGCGGCTATCTGGCCTCTGGTCGGCGTTGCCAGGCGCTTGTCGTTTTATCTCCATGGCAATATTGCGTTCGCATTGGGATAGGGCTGTGTCGCCCGAGGTCGCAATCTGCTTTTCGCAACCCGGCGCCGCGTGACGTCACGTGAACCCCGCCAGAGGGTCGCGCGGGCGAAGGAACTGGGATGTTGTGGTGACCGCGTGTGACGTAAATGAGGTTGTCAGAGCAACGGAGATCACGTGTCGTCTCATGAGACGCGCGGTTGAGAAATTCATACCGTCGCCGTGGATAAAAATGTGATAGGATTCCTAGTCCGGGCTCCGAACTAGGGTCTCCAACGACTTTGTTGGTGGTATATAGTGGACAGGTAGGCCAGTGACGAAATTCCTAAGAAACAAAGTAAACTTTTGATTGGGTCCTCGCTTTCGTAGGGGGCCCGTAATTGATTTTGAAGTTTTATTTTGCATTTTAAATTTTTACAAAAAACAAACGAAAACACAAAAACACTCATTCTTTTTAATCCTGCACATACACACTCGGGATCTTTGAGACTCCATGCAAGAACTTGTTTTCCCGAAAAGTTTGCTAATCCCTGGCTTCCTGCTCCATGTGAATTAACTTAGTAGGTTTCTTCTGTTACGAATTTATTGGTTTCATTGCCCATAGCTCAATATGTGACTGACAACGATGAAGTCAGTGTCTCGGCTGGAGAAATCGATGTGAAATTTGTTCCAGAGCAAAATATTTAAATTGTTGCAAATTTATCATTCAAATTACTCTAATAAACATTGTTCCGTTTACGGAATTAGATTAAAAAAGTAAAATTATGAGGTCTTTTTGCAATTTTCCAAAAATGAGAGTTTTTAACCAACATTACACCGACAACATTCTCGTTGTGCTTCGTTCTGACATTCAACGCTGATTGCATTGATAACGTTATTCTACGACTGTTTTCTAGACGTTTTTATCTGATTCCAAGTACAGATTAAGCTGTAATCAAATGATTATGGAAAGGTGATAATGCCTGCATTCTTCTTGTAGCAAGTTACGTATGAATTTGGTGATTCCATTCTGTGCGGCATTCTTTGCAGCAATGTCCCGAAAACTAAGTAAAATGGCAAACAATTCTTGAAATGCGTTGGGTCTACAGATATAATTTCATTATCAGTAGTGTTATTAATTGTTGGTAACAATAATATGCCAACTATCAAGTGAAGTTTACAAAATATATTCAAACTTGAATGTTTCGTTTTCGCAACACCAAGTACATACGATGTAAATTCAATACGGGATATATATTTTCAGCAAATGCTAATGTTTATAACTATAACACTCGATGTAGTAATCATATTCATCAGGTCATATCAACAGCTCACTACAAAAAATTCACATTCATTACATTGCATGAAAATATGTTCCCACCGTTAAGTCAGTTTTGACAAATATTACAGATTCGTAAATAAATAGGCAATGCAATGGTAAGATTCCCACCTCAATGAAGAGAGGCTTTCAGGCATCACGCGGATGGCATTTGTTAATTATTCGAATAATTTTCTTTTGCGATCTAATGGTCTGGGTACTACATAATTAGCTTCACCAGAATATTATGCCATATCTCAGGTGGGAATGCACATTTGCAAAATACACGCAACGAGCTGCATGAAGGCTGACAGAATTTGAAAGAATTCTGGATGTGTAAAATAATAAACTTAATTTAGTGTTTAATTCTGTTATTTGTACATTCCATTTGAGTTTTGACTGAATTGAGAGATCTAGAAATTTTGTTGCGACATCAGCTAATTGCATATTGTTCATTTTCAATGGTGCATGCGATTGCTGATTTGAAATGCAAAAATGCATTGAAACTGTTTTTACTTCGTTAACTATTAATTTTGGTATTACAAAACCAATTTGAAACTTCTGAAACCGTACTATTTATTGCTTCTTTTTGCAAAGAACATTCGTATCATCGGCAAACAGAACTGTTCTTCTGTTTTTATTAGACGAGGGCATTTCGTATAAGAGAAAGAGGATAGGACCTAAGATCGAACCTTGCGGGGCCCCATATTCAATTGGTAAATAATTGGAAAGATAAGTATATGATGTCCTTTCCTGCCGGTACGGTATTTCTATCCTTTGAGATCGATGTTTAAGGTAACAGGTTAGCGATACCACGAATTCCATAAGAAGGTAATAGATAGCGAGATGTTATGGTCAATAACTCAAAAGCTTTCAAGAGATCTAAAAATGTACCAATGCGTTCTTAATGTTGGTCCATTGATTAAGCAACATCTTTAAGAAAAGAAATATGGCAGTTTCCGTAGATTTTGGTTATCTAAACCCGTGTTGTGAGACTAAAAACGCTTCGTTTTTTCTTGAGAAATGTTTCCATTCGGGTATAAAAAAGCATGTCTAATATTTTCGAGAAAACTCACAAAATAGGAATTGGCCGGTAATTTTGAATTTTATTTTTGTTCCTTATTTTAAAAAGTGGCTTATTTTTTGCTGATTGAAAATATCTGGAAATATTCCTGTGCATAAAGAAGCATTGAAAATGCGTGTTAACGGGTGTATAAAGGCAGGTACACGAGTTTTTAATAAACAATCCGGAAATACATCTGAACCAAATAAATATTCATTTTTTAGTTTACTGACTATCATCAGGATTTCGTTAGAAGTTTCGGTAATAAACATCGTGTTGAAAATTTTTGGGGTAGAGAATGATGTTGGCGTTTGGCCGTCAATCGATTTTTCGGTATCAAGGACCCACAAAACGGATTCTGGCCACGCCACGTATTAGAGAATTTTGTCTTCTAAATTTAGCATATGGATTTATGAACTTTTTTGTTATCAGGGCGCAGATATATGAGAGTTTTTCTACCGAAAATTCGCCGATTTTTCGCGCAGCATTACATAACTTTCTCTTCTTAAGAAGTTTCTTCTTAAGCGCGTGAGTGTAAAAATGGGTCAAAGTATAACTGAAATAAGGTTGAAAAATACTGTGTTTTTTTTTAATCATGTATATGTATATGTATCATGTATATATGCCACCATACCAACAATTGAAAATAAAAGATGTGACATACCAAACATATAACTAGGAAAGATTTGTAAACCACAGTTACTTCAGTAATTAATCATAAACAGTGTTTATTTTCTCTTCCCAACATGGGAGGTTCATAATATGAATGGTTGATTTCATGGAGATTCGAATAGTCATCCAACCACTTTGTTTTGTGTTGAATTTCAATTTTGATGCAGAGATTTATGAAAACATTAATTGTTTCAGGTACACTTTTGAAATTGTGGATGAAGTGGCAAATTTTCTACTGAGCAGAACTGTAGTGCGACCAACCGTTGGTATTATTTGTGGAACAGGACTAGGTAAGCTATGATGTTACTTTGCTTCCAAAATTCATACAAAATAGTGATTCAGAGAGAGAGAGAGAGAGAGAGAGTAAAATTTATGTATTTTAGAGAAATAAATAATTCACAATGACATAAAAATGAATTGTCATGTTTTGCTGAAATTGTATCTAATTATAACAAGAGCTTATTAAATCACATTAAAAAAATCATAGCCTGTATACTAACACAACTATTTATAATAATATCAATATAACCAATATAATAAGTTAACTGAAATAAATAAAATAAATAAATTTTAAAGATATAATTATAAATTAATTAATACAAACATAGTTTCTTCCCTACAGTGTTTCTCATTGAGGAACATGAATTAACTTTACTAGATAGATGATTTTGCTTTCTCCTTCCTTAAAAATCTCTTTATTAATTTATTGTAATTTTTCTTGCATTCTTCCATAATGGAACTGTGGTGCTAGTTTTCAGTTTATCTAGTGTCATAATTTTCCCTTATTCTTCCAAGAGATTTGTTCTGTACAATTTTCATCAGTGATTCTGAGTTCTGGAAAGTATTTTCTCATTTCAATTATTTAATATTTCCTGTCTTTTAAGTGATGTGCTAAGACCTTTTAATCAAATTTTCAATTGGTGGTTCAATTGGAATATGTTAAGATATCTAACCAAATTCTGGTATAATTTAAGTTATTTCTCTTTTCATCAAAACTGCATCAAGCAAACTTATTTTCCTGTAAATATTATTTATTTTCGTATTTTTCAATATATACAGTTAATATCTCATTCTTATTTGCAGGAAGTTTAGCAGAGAAACTGGAGGACAAAGCAATTTTCAAATATGAGGACATTCCACACTTCCCTGTATCCAGTGTGGAAGGACATGCTGGACAATTGGTGTTTGGTCGACTTGAAGGAGTTTCTGTTGTATGCATGCAGGGGCGATTTCATTATTATGAAGGATATCCATTATGGAAGGTGAATAAGTAAATAATTTTTGACCAATCAGTTTTGATTTCATCCAGATCCATCTTAGCAAGTATACTTGCTAAGCCAGAGTTGTCGAATGAGGAACCACAGATGTAAAATCTTAAATGTAATTTACACAGCAATGAAAGTAATAATTTATTTCATCTCTTGTTGCCTACATGGACAATAATTTCATTTTTTAGTGAATTAAATATTCAAATTTACTGCTGCAAATTTTATATTATGGCTAAAATAATGTGTTTCAAAAAGTGAATTTTGTTAATGTCAACAATCTCATTGGCAGAATGAATGATGTTTTCAATTTGAACAATCCTCCAAAATGGAGATATTTTGTCTTAACTTCTGTAACTGTGATTGTGAAAAAATATTGGATAAAATAATGTTTGCTATACAAATGAAAATATATTTTTGCTAAACTTTTCCATTCATGAATAAAATCCTATTTTATTTCCTTGATACATTTATTAAACATGTTTTGAAAATTAAAAAAACAAATAATTCAAAATAATTGTGCAGTAAAAGTCTCTATTTTTATTGCAATTTTTTCCTTTAAAATTGAAAAGAACATTGAATCTTTTAGTCCTTTAACATTGATTATTGTTATTATTAAAAATTATATTTTGAAAGAATGATGAAATGATTGAAAAATAAAAAAATCATCCTTATATTTCAGTGTTGTATGCCTGTGAGAGTAATGAAACTCCTTGGAGTAAAATATTTCATTGCTACCAATGCAGCTGGAGGACTCAATGAAAGATACAAAGTTGGAGATATTATGATCCTGAGGGACCATGTGAATTTTATGGGGTTTGCAGGAAACAACCCACTTCGTGGTGCTAATGACGACAGGTATAAATCATGTCTACATTTACATAACAAATTTTTCCTTAACAAATTAATTGCTCATTTGAAATTTGAGCAGGCTTCTAAAGATGTGTTGGATTTTGTTATTTTCAACTTAGTTGTCCTTCAAGTCTTTAAATATTGAACATTTTAACATAATTTTCTTTTTAATTCTATAATGTGGGAAAATTAATGTTTCATGTAAGTGAACAATTACTTTATTTAGGTATAATCATAACATTAGTGAGCAATTATTAATTATTTTGATATTATCAAATAGATTTGGACCCCGTTTTCCTCCTATGAGCAAGGCATATGATCCTGAACTCATTGATGTGGCAAAGAGTGTGGTTAAGGACATGAATATTGAAGACATTGTCCATGAAGGTGTTTACACATGTCTTGGTGGTCCCTGCTATGAAACACAAGCTGAACTTAGATTAATGAAGCTCTTGGGCATTGATGCTGTTGGTATGTATTATGTTGTGCATTACATTTATTAAGTGAAATTAAATAATGTACTATAATAAACTTTAAATTGACTGCTATGTGGTATCATGCAACACATTCTTACATAGATGAGCAAAATGTCCAAGATATACCAGTTGCAAGCCATACATCTCCACATATTTCAAAGAGAAGTTTTAGTGAAGTCGGTGCTTTGGTACTTTCATTTGTAATTTTCACAGGAAGGTAGCAATTTGTATTTATATAAAGAATGCGAATAATAGATGATCCATTTTAAAACTATGTAATTTACAGTAAATCTTAGGCTCTCTATTTTATTAAGTAGTGGAACATCCACAGTTTGATAGATGTGTATTTTTCTTCTGATTTGTTTATCATAAAATACTGTAAAAATAATTATTCATAAAAATAATTATTCTTATCATCCTAGATAGATTGATTAATTATAAGTATTTAAAGCAAAAAACATCTGAAATAAATTTCATATAACCGATTTTGAGACTTTTTAGTAGTCATCATAAAAATGTTGACTTTCTAAACACTCAATTGAAGAAAATTAGCCACCAACTTTTTGTATTTTTGTAACATTAATTTCATGATATCATGGAATTGCAGGCGTATTACATAAAATTTGAATGCAAATCATATTTTTAGTACAAACATTTTAAAAAAAATATTCTTTGCAAAAAGAACCAATAAATAATACAATTTCAGAAGTTTCAAATTGGCTTTGTAATACCAAAATTAATAGTTAACAAAGTAAAAATAGTTTCAATGCATTCTTACATTTCAAATCAGCAATTGCATACTCCATCGAAAATGAACAATATGCAAGTAGCTCAAAATCAACAATATGCATCAAAATTTCTAGACCTTTCAATTCAGTCAAATCTGAAATGGAATGTACACATAACATAATTAAAAACCCTAAATTAAATTTATTACATTACACATTCAAAATTATTTCAAATTCTGTCATATTTTATGCAGCTTGTTACTTGTATTTTGCAAATGAGCATTCCCACTTGAAATATGGCATCATATTCTGGTGAAGTTCATCATGTAGTAGCCAGACTTTTAGATTGCAAAAGAAAATTATTTCAATAATGAAAAATGCCATCCATGTTACCCTTGCAACCTCTCTTCATTGAGCTTGGAATCTTACCACTGCTTTGTCTATATATTTACGAATCTGTAATATTTGTCAAAAGTGACTTACTTAAAGGTGGGAACATATTTTCATGCAATACTGATATTTATAATTACAACACATCGTAAAAGTCATGTTCATCAAGTGTGAGTATCAACAGCTCACTATCAGAAACCCACATACATGTTTGTTTCTTTACAACGCATTGGCAGATGACATGAAACAATTGAAGTCGGTACACAAATTTAAGTTAAAAGTAAAATCTTTTCTGCTGTATAAATATTTCTATACAATAAAAGCCTAGACTGATCATCAAAAAGAATAATAGTGTTTATTTTAACAAAACAGTGATATATAATTAATTAGTTTACATTTGAATGGAATAATTATTTTAAAAAAGACTTAATATACTTGTAACAAATAATATCCTTCAGCTTCCGGATCAATGACCCCATCTTGATCTGGTTTTTGTCCAGTTTTACTGATCCATTGAGCAAATGCTGAGATGGTCCCTTGTTTTGCTTCTCGACATAATGTAGCATCACTGTGCACGTTTTGTTGAACTCTCCTTTCGCTTTTAGTGGTATGAGAAGAAGTAAGAGCAAGTGTTACAATATTATATAACTATTTTGCTAGTAATGCAAAAAATCTAATCTGTAGTTTGTTTCCCATTGCAAATAAGTTTTCTAAAACTTGGGAATGAAAATATCTAGTTTTTGAAATGTAACTAATTTCGTGCTTTTTAATTTAATCCTTTTTTTTTATTTTATTTTTTAACTTTTACTCATGTTTCAACTATTTGTAGTTAAAATGATAGGAAGGGATTCTGGAACTCAACATTTGCAGATGATCTTCTCTCCTTCTTTGCGTTTTTTTGACTAATAAATCTAAATCAAAATCTAAAAATGTAAATATCTGGAAACATGATGTTCATGCTGTTTTTGGTTATATGTGTTTCAGGTATGAGTACAGTACATGAAATAGTCACAGCTGTCCACTGCGGTTTACGCTGCTTTGCATTCAGTCTCATTTCAAATGAATGTGTCACAGAATACAACACCGAAGCAGAAGCTAACCATGAAGAAGTAATGGACACTGGAAAAATGCGTGCCCCAATTCTCCAAGCTCTTGTTGCTGAATTCATAAAGAGAGTAGATGGATAAGAAATTCATTCTCTCTTCATTTTTAAGATATACATTTTCATATTGAAATATTTCATATAAAGACATCAGCCAACATCTTGCACATTATGAGTGCATAAACTGTCATGATCTGTGAATCATTAAACTAAAACTCCCCTGGAGTTTCATTGTTAGGGTCATTTCTGATCCAGGTATGCTTATACTCTAAAAGCCTCATGTTTGTAAGTCATTAGTGCTTTGATTTCAACAGTTTGAGCTCTAATAATCTTCTTTACTATTAAGATCTAGTGAGGATAATAAATGTGAACTGCGCACTGATCCCTAATGAGGGAAAAAAGGCAAGTGTATCATTCATGTCATTCTTCTTTCTTCTGTACAGATATTTCTCTTATTTATTCTTAGAACAAAAACGACCAGCCACTGTACCTTCACATTTATTATATTTAGAATGTAAATAAATTAGTGTTATTCAAAATGGTCTATGTTCCTGTTACAAAAATTAGCGAATATTGTTTCATAAAATATTCAGTCATTCCTTGAAAAGATTTATAGATAAAATAATGTATACTATGTAAATTACAATTGTGTAATATTTTTGTAATTAAAATATCATATTGAGCATATAATTTATAATAAAAATATTAATTAGTTCAGAATTCCTTATTTATTGGTACCTAGTATATGAACACTGAGTGAAATGGCTCAGTGCATTGCGTGCTGACATCGCAATCGGGAGGTCTAGGTTTGATACCTGGGCCAGCTACCCTGCCTGGGGTTTCCCTTGCGAATGCTGGGATGGTTAAAAAATGATACGATCACATCCTACCATCATCCTATCACCCTTCATCTTCATCTTCACCCTATCACTTCATTCAGTATTCCCTGCAAAAAGCAGGAGGTACTTAGTGGGATCTTAATAATAAAAATGATAATAATGATGATGATGATGATGATAATAATAATAATAATAATAATAATAATAATAATAATAATAATAATAGTAGTAATAATAATAATAGTAATAATAATGATAATGATAAAAATGATAACAGTGATAACAATAAGCCAGTGGACATCATCTTAAAGTCCCATCTGCCTTTTGGATACCATAGGAAAAATGCTAGAAGGCTTGATTCTTCGGCACATGGAGATGCACATGATAGAGCAGGGCAACTTGACTCTTAACCGGTACGGGTTCCATAAAGGCAAATTCTACGACTGACAAGCGACCTCATAGCAATAGTTATCTGGAACGCATTCAACTCCTTGGGCTGGGAAGATGTAAAAGAGACATTAGAAAAACCGATTATCTCAGTCTACCTGAAAAATATTATAGGTGACTACCTAAGCGAGAGAAGCATTATATATGAAGAAGATAATTGGAGAATTAAAGAAGAAATGACATGTGGAGCCCCAAAAGGATATTGACTAGGCCCAATGCAATGGAACGTGGTTTACGATGACTTTTTAAAGATGTCGCTCCCAAGGGAAGTAAATATTATTAGATTTGCGGACGATGCCTTGATTGTAGTCGCAGCAAGAAGCGAAGACATCCTTGAGATGCGAGTGAATGAAAGCTTGCATAGAGCAAAAAGGTAGCTGTATTTTTGAAAACTGAAAAAATTGACACAGCAAAAGTACAATGTTGATGTTGGGGATTTTTGTCTTAAATTAAATCAGTTCTAAAAACTAGATCTTTAAGTAAGATCATATACAATTTTTTGGGGAAAAGAAAAGTAGTTTTCACGTAATTTCTGAGTGAATTTATAAAAAACAATTCTCAAAAATGACCCCATTTTTTTCTTTATTTTTTGTAAAACGGAGAAAAAAAAACACTTAAAAATGGTGCCAGTCTCATTTTCGTTAAGCTTTCTGAATTTTCGAATTTTTAAAAAAGTTTGTTTCATCTTCATGGACGCAATGCGTCTCTGAAACCTTGTAGAGCATTGAGCACCTGGCATAGAGTTATTTAATCTTTTAAATCTTAACGGTTTGAAAATTGGAAAAGCACCTTATTTTATATTGTAAATATATATTATTTATTATTTAATAATTCTATTATAACTCTTCAATAAATACTATTTTAAACAACTAAACCTTTCTACTATTACAAGTATTTAATTGAAGTATTCCTTTTGAGTGCAAAATGTATTTGCACCAGGGCAGCAAACCAGTGCGTGGCGGCCCTGATTACATCACATAACCCGCAGGTAATAGGATGGTGCATCAAAGGACACATTGAGAAAAAAATGCCAAATGACGCTGAACATGTGATTTTGAACAGTGATGGTTTTGTTTGGCCAAATTGGAATAATGTTGCCTTATTTTCATCCAATTTACTGTAGAATTCACCTCATTTTGGGATAATTGACAAGATCTTCATACCAGGGCACAGTTTTTCTTTGTGTGATAAAGCATTTGGAGTTAGGAAGAAATAAAAATCATATAAAATGACCATCTTCATTCTAGATGAATGGATGGAGATTGTGAAAAATTCAAAGAACAGGCAGACCATGTCATCAAATTGGAGCCAGAATATTCTTTCAGGATTTTAAAATTGGAGGAAGATATTATGAACCGCAAAGGTAGTAGTGATGGAAATATATTTGAGTGACGTTAAATAAATTTGATCTGAGTTGAAAAAAGAGTACCTCAGGCAGCTAAAAATAAAATATATCTATTTAGAATACATGAATTTCATCTCGGTTGATGTGACCAAAAAGCAACAATGAATATAGAAGGATTCGTCAATCCTGTGTTACTGAAAATAAACTCCTTAGGATGGAAATTAAGAAATTAGGAAGGTCAATGATCTTGCCTAACTAGATTTTGCCAGTTAACCATTCATTCTATGAAGACGTTAAGTCCTGTAAGTGTGAATTAGTCCTGTAAGTGGAGTGCCTGTTTTATCGGGGGAGGTGGCGGTGATCTTCCCTATCTGGTTAGTGCGATCCTCTCTGAGCTCTGCGACGCGGGGGAGCAGCAAGTGCGTGGGAGGGGTTCGCCGCTCCGCCGGGCCAGCGTCGCCTGAATATGAAGACGTCGCGGCGCCACGGACGCTTGAGTAAAGTCGGCGCCGTGGCGAATCAAATACGTGTAAATAGTGTAGTGAAGTGTTGTGGGTTTGAATGAATGAAGGCGATTATAAATATAGCCTAAGTACGAATGCGTGTGAAAATAAACCAAAACGAAAAAGAAGAAACGAATATAATATATAAAGAAGAAACAAAGAAGAATATATAAAACATTAAAAAGAAGTTGGCAAAACTAGCAAATCCCAAAGCGGAAATGTAATTAGTTTTAAGATAGTATAAGTTAGTTTAAGATACCGCTCTCACAGTCTGCAAAAGCCTCATCGGCTGCAGAAAAATGCATTCCCTAGTTAAATAAATTCCCGCCTCTCCAGGGAAACTGAAGAGGGGAAAACTTAAAAAAAGAAACAAAATAGGCGGGAATATTTGCATGCCTTCGGTGACAAAGATGTTAATCCGCTTCTGAGTGTACTGCAGGTAACTGTGTTCGGGAAGACAAGGAAACTATGTTGCGGCAGGTAAAAGATTGCGCGTGGTCCGTGGTCAGTTCGTTTAGGTACCGCTCTGGCATTACTTGACTTTTCAAGGTTTCAACGCTCTCAACGATCCAGTAGTTTGCTCAAGTTTTTACACAAAATTATCGGACAAATCTCATAGTCCCTTAAAGTACCGTTATTTTCACATCTCTCATCTGGCTGATCTCGTTCTATTTGCATTGCATCCTCGTTCTACTCTCTACGACGTTCTACTCGCATTGCGCACCAAATATCTACAAGCAGGGGAGCCCAGAGAAAGCAAGTAGCCTGGGGCAGATTTACGGGATCTCTTATTTCAAAGGATCCGCCCCCCCCCTAAATACATAATATAATTCATCTCTTCATGCAACAGAAATAACTTATACCGGTTAATTTCAATTAGAAGTGTGTGTGTGTGTGTGTGTGTGTGAGTCTATATATATATATATATATATATATATATATATATATATATATATATATATATATATATATACATACATATATTAAATTTAGAATCAAAAAAGTTTGGGGTCTCAATTAAATCGGAGCCTGGGGTAAGTGGCACTTTCTGGGCGCCTCTACCTACAAGTACCCGATTTTTTCTCCAAATCCTGAAATACAATATAGGGTTTGTATGATCTGTATGAATGTGTCAGTCATTCAGTAGTGTTTTTTATTTTTTATTTATTTATTTACTTCAAAAATAGTTAAAAAATGTGTATAACGTGATATGGGGAGAAGTTAAGTTGAAGTCACATTTACGTCCGGAAGCATAACAAGGATCTCAGCATTTGCTCGAGGATCAGGGAAACTGGACGACAACCTGATCAAAATGGGGGTCATTGACCCAGAAGCTGAAGTACAATACTTGTTACAGGTTCCTTAGAATTATACAATCCAAATGGTAAATAATACATTAAATGTCATTGCTATAATTAATATTACTTTCTTGTGGATGCTCAGTATAGTCGCTAATTGTATAGAAACAGTTGTGCAGCAGAAAAAGATTATACTTGATAATTTAACTTTTACATCGAATTTAATCGTTTAATATCATTTGGCAAGGTATTGTAAAATAATGTACTGAATGGGAATTTACTGTACTGAATGGGAATGAATATAAAATAAAGTATTGAAGGGGATTTTTTTGTAGTGAGCTGTTGATACTGTCACCTGATGAATATGATTACTATGTCGAGTATTGTAGTTATAGACAACGGCATTTGCTGAAAATATATTCCCGCCCTTAAGTAAGTCATTAACCACTTATTAACCATTAAGTAAGACAAAAACCACTTATTCATATAAGAAGAGACATGGTAATGGTAGAATACCTAGATTAATAAAGAGAGGCTTACAAGAATCACGTGGGTGGGATTTTCTTATTATTAGTGCAATTCGTTTTTGTAATATGAAAGTCTGGGAGCTATAAGACGTATTTCTCCAGAATATTATGCCGTATCTCAGACGGGAATAAACATTCGCGAAATATACACAACGAGCAGTGTAGAGGCTGACTGAATTTGAAAGAATTCCAAGAAATACATGTTTTGTTTTTACATGATGTCCTAATCCCTTGTGTTATCCAAGAATCGCTTTTCCGTGAAAACTTAAATTTTTTCTTTTGAAGAGGAAAGCAAGTGTTAAAATGAAATGAAATCTTTGGAAAGAAAAAAAAAGAATTATATTTATCGTTTGTATTAACAGTATTGTAAACCGCGTCCCATGGCTCTTATTATATTAATATTATTTTACTTTTAGTCAATAATTTACTCATAGGTTTATTTGTGTCAGTGTTCGCAATGCTAAGAATTTGTGAATAGTGATCACTATATTCAAAATCTTTTGTTTCAATTTCATTTTGTTTTATTTCAAATCGTAAGATTACAACATATGGTATGTGATGTAATATGTCTCTCAAAATGTTTTTTAAATTTGCAATTATACTTCTTTCTCTGTAAGCTTCCATTAGTGACGAATAGGGAGACCTTGTTACGAACTGTTAAGATTTACGGGAATGTGTGGAGCTGCCCTCAGACGATTCCTCATCCCGTGCTTAGCCATGAGGCTCGAGTGCGTGAATTTTTATCG